TAGTTGTTATGACTGTTTTGAAAGTCTCACAACAGCCTAAGGTTTTTTTTTGTTAGGCTGATGTAGCTTTTTATCAAGTAAATTTTTTTTTATGGTTAATTTTTTTGTGTTATTTTTGTGAGAGAGTCAGTAGGGCTAGCAAGGTAACACGAGAGCGACTTAAAGCGCGATATCTTACTGCTATTGTCCCACAGGGTATCTCTCTAGAGAAGTGCTCTCGTGCAAGTCGCGTCATCATGCTAGCCCTAAGAGCCCTCTCTAGCCACGCAGAATCCTCAGTTTGGGCTCTTATTTCCTACATTTGAAGCACAGTGTTCGAACAGTTGCTTTTACATTTTCTTGATTTTAACTTTAAAAGATAATAATTAAAATTATTATTATTGAAAATTAGAAGTCGTTACTTGAATAATTCTCCTAGTAACGATAGAGCATTAATTTACCCATACAAAGCAAATAAAACTAATTACATAAAAATACAAGTTACGCCTTACAAATATTATATAAAACTTCATATTTATTAAAATAATACTTTTACATTTTTAGCATTGAAAACATATTTATAGTGATCTAACTTTCTTGATACTTTCACAGTAATTTTGTAAAAATAAATTTGATATGGTGTTCGCATAGAGAATATGCTATAAGGGTTTTATCAAGTAGCCTACAATCACGTCAAAGTTTTAATATTTTCAATAACACATAGTCCATTATTGACTATAATTTTTCAAATTAGTAATTTAAAAAATTACATTTAATTATTACATCAAACCATTAAAATAAAATTAAAATTCGTAAGGTCTGCTGATTCGATCCGTAGCCCAGTTCAGCTGGGAGAGCGACAGCCCGCGTTAGGCGAAAATGTCGGTGGTTGAAGTTCGCCGGATCTTTCGCCTGGTTGACTCTCCAATGGCACAATATTTGTGCCCCAAAGCCGGCAGAACCTTTCGATTCCCGTAAGATCTACGTCCTGCTTTTTTGCTAAGATTTTCACTACTTCTTTCAAATTTTCAAATTTTTTATTATTTCCTACCACTTTTATGTTTTGTCTTCCTGTAGAGTTAACACGACAATGCGCGACTTTCGCGAGAACGACATAGCGCACGAGATCTCTATGCGAGATAGACAGTAGTATTTCGCACTTTATGTCGCTCTCGTGCTAGTCGCGCCCTGTCGTGCTAGCCCTGCAGCTACTCACTCATCTGTGTAGGGCCCCATTTAGATTATCCAGTCCCCGTAGCATGACTACGCAGGATAGTCGCGACGCGCGCGATAAAATTGAAATAAGCGCGCACTATTGGCTAACTAAAAAATTGGCTAACTAGATCTGATTGAGACAGCCAATAGCGCGCTTATTCCAATTTTATCGCGCGCGTCGCGACTATCATGCGTGGCCATGCTACGGGGACTGGATAATCTAAATGGGGGCTGATGTAATTATCTGTTATTCTTATTTGTAGTCTTGAAACAACGTGCTAGGACACGTTATACTAAGTTAAATACATAAAAAGTAGATGATATTATTCAGCAAGGCTTTTGTATTTTGTATTAATTATAGAAAAACCGGCGTAACTGGTTCCATACAAGGAACTGGTCGAAGTGCAGTCTTAGTCCCACAGCACGCTACCCTTATTGACGCTCTGACAGCAAAGGAGACATTGGAATTTGCTGCTAGCCTGAAACTTCCAAACGCTACTTCTGGGGAACGTAGTCATGCGGTAAGTTGCTTAAGATACAATTTGTAAGCCTGTTTAGACCCAAATCCTTTTCAATAATATTGATAACCTAGCCTTATTCGTAGCTTTTTGTCACACGGAATCTTCAAGGATCGGTCCCCGAAATTTGATTTTAATTATACAGGAATGTAGAGATTTTTGATGTTTGCGAAAATGATTTACTAGTAGTAAGTAGATACCTCTTGGATGAGGATTTCTGTAGGTGTCTGTTCTGTCTATTTGTCTGGATTTTGTTTATAAATAATAAATAACAAAGACAGCACCCATCTACGGACAAATTATACATAATTATCTCTATAGAGAATCGATAATTGTTTTCCATTGTGTTCAGTTACTGTAAATAGTGATTATTACAATGGGACTTCTTATATGCATAGAATAGGACCGCGAAAGTTAAATATAGAAAAACACTTCAAATGTGTGACAGCATTAGGTAGTTATAACCAAGACAATAGTTTATAATTATGCCTTAAATGGTAGCCAGAATGTCTCAAGACAAACGCGTTTGGATGTTCATCGAGGAAACTAGGGTTAATGTTTTTTTTTTATAAAGAATAAGTGCGCATTTGACCTCCATCTTACCTGATGGAGTGACGATGAGGTGGAGGATGTAGCATGCACACCTAAATAATGCCTATTTACTCTCGCCTTGAAAAGGTCGCAAGTTATAGCGTTCGGGGAACAAGTCTGCAGGCAGGGAATTCCACTCCCTAGCCGCTCGCCATATAAATGTGAAAGCGAAACGCTTCGTGCGAATCCGGGGAATATCCACAACATAGGGGTGGAACCTCCGCCCACGTCTAGTCTCCCGATGATGGAAAGGGGAAGGTGGAATCAAATTATGCAATTCCATCGCACACTCTCCGTGATATATCCTGTAGAATACCGATAAGCTGGCAACTCTACGGCGGTGTTCAAGGCTCTGCAGCTTCACCTCTACTAGTTCCGAGTCACCTATAAGCCTCTTATTACGCTTGTCTATTGAATCCAAGGTGGCCAGTTGGTATTTAGCAGGGCCATCCCATAAGTGGCAGCAGTACTCCATACACGACCGGACTTGTGCTTGGTACAGCTGAAACAACTGTCCCGGTGTGAAGTATCGCCTCACCTTGGAAAGGATGCCAAACTTCTTGGTTGCATTTTTGGCCATGGATTCAATGTAACTGCCGAAGTTCAGATTGGACGACAGGTCCATTCCAAGTAGGTGAAGACGGTCGGCTATAGGTATGGATATACCACGAAAAGAGGGAGTCACGTGAAAGAGACTCCGTTTAGTGGAGAAAAGACACGCCTGCATTTTGGTAGCACTAAATTTGACAAGATTGGCATCGCCTCAATCGGAGACTGCCTTAAATGTCAAACTCAAACGACTAACCATGGATTCTCGACAAGACTGGGTTTCTTCTCCACTGACCCTTGCATTGATCAAGTACCTGTCTACACCTGTGCTGTCACCAGCATACCCAAAGGTACCTGGAATCAACATATCGTTTATATGCAGCAGAAAGCGGGTTACGGACAGTACCGAACCCTGAGGAACTCTATCCTGGAACCCTGAGGCATCTATCGCCCTTTGTTCGGAAGAGTAGCCTTCTAAGACCACTAGAATCGAACGTTCACCCAAGAAATCCGAAATGTTGTAGAAATAAGAGCTTTGCGCAATGTGATCGGTATTAGTCTTAAAGACAGAATGCCAAGCAGTGTAGTAAGAGAGCGTTTGACGGTGTGACCTCCTTACACCGTCATCTCACCTTTTTGTATCGCCTCTCTCCACTTGTATCCTAACATTTTTTCTTTTACTTGTATTTAAATTGAAATTTGAATTGTTCCATCTTCCTTCGCTTTCTCATTTTGTTTCGTACCACGGTCACTCCCTGCTCGACCACCACAACAGTCGGAGCTGTTTCAAATTCCATCGCGTATAATCGCCAATGTTGGTTCTTTACTACGTTTATAATCATAAAATAAGCTAAATCATGTGTAATAATTTATAACAGACTACAGCCTTCATGTACCTATAACTGTAATTCAGTTACTCGACCCATGTAGGGGTAAGTGCCTTAATCATAAAGTGTAGGGAGTGTTTTATACTGTTGTACCTGTTTTTTTTACATTTACCTTTTTATTGTTACAGCCCTTTCTTTTAACTTTACTTCTTTTAATACACTTTGTGAACCGGAAGTTTCCCATTTCATTGCCGTGAACCTGTTCACGGCTAGCTAGGGTTACTACCCTTTCAAGCGTTGTGGTATGAAAGGTGATGTATTCACTCGAATAGAGAGGGGGAAGCTTGGTTTGGTCACGTAGAAAGAATGAATGTTGGTAAATTGACGGCACAAATTTATAGAGCGAATGTGGATGAAGGCATGGTGAGAGATAGACCTCGGCGTGCATATCTCAAGCAGATTAGGGATGTCCTTAAAAAAGGCCGTGCTAATAATTCCAAGAATAATTTAAGGTGAATATCAACAAATGCATTTTATTGTAAATTTTGAAGGCGCAATTTTTTTTTTTTTAGATTTTCGAGTATCCGAGACTCGTTTGCAACAAAATGAAACATTTCATTTACATATACGTGACCGGGACATAACCATTTCCATTAATTTCAGAGATATAAGCAATTAAAAATTTTTCTCGCCACCAATACTTAGAAACGCCACCAAAACGCTTATCGGTTGCACCAGAATTAAATATTGCCACCAAAGTTGGAATATATATATAAACAAAGACAATTAAGTAAATTTAATTGTTTCTTTAAATTTAATTGTGATAAACATTTGTTTGCCCCTTTAAAACGACGTACAGTTGGAATTTTCTTCTGCTTTTACTTTTTAATATCATGTGACGGGACGAACGAGTCATGCGCCTGATGGTAAGCTACACGCCTGTCCATAACAGTGGCAGTGCCACTCAGAGTTTTAAATAAGCAAAGATCTGAAGAGCACTGCCACTGCGCCCGTCACCCTGAGACGTAAGTTGGCAAGTCCCATGTGCCTGTAACTTCACCAGCATCCTTACCCTTCCAAACCTGACTATGCTAACACTACTGCTTGGCGGCAGAAATAGGTAAGGTGGCAGTACTTCCCTGGATTTTCACAACGCCATCTCTACGAATGTTTTCTAAATATAAGTTGTAGAAACCCAAATGTTTACCATGAGGACATAAGGTGGGTTTATCCGGACATTGAGGCTTGATAAGGCATCATCATTCACAGCCTGATTTCACCCTCTGCTGGGTATAGGCCTCTCGAAGTTTGTGCCATCCATCACGGTCCCGTGCTAGCCGCATCCATTGACGCCCCGCGACGCGTACTATTTCGTCGACCCACCTTGCAACAGGGCGCCCGACGCATCTTTTGCCCATCCTCGGTCACCAATCAGTCGGTATCTTGCTCCACCTATCATCACCTTGCCTAGCTAGGTGTCCCGCCCATCCCCATTTGAGTTCCATGATCCGAGTTACGGCATCCTGAACTTTCGTCCATCGTCGGATCTCAACGTTCGGAACTCGGTCTACAAGGCTGATGCCGAGCATAGCGCGCTCCATGGTCCTCTGTGCAACTCTCAACCTGTGTACAGTCTCCTGCGTGAGCGTCTCGTCACCATACGTCACGGTGGGCAGAACACATTGATTAAACAAGCGTGTCTTCAGACACTGTGGAACCTTACCTGTTTTAAAGACGACACCTAACTTGCTAAACACAGCCCACCTCAGCTGGATTCTTTTTGAGATCTCTTTAGGCTGATGCTCTTTGCCAAACGACAGAACATGTCCGAGAGTGACGTACTGATCGACTCTCTCCAGCCTCTCAGTTCCTGCCGTGACGGTGGTATTTGACGGACTGGAGAGATTCGCCATAATCTTCGTCTAGGACATTATTCATCCTTAGGCCAACTCTCAAAGAAGCATCATATGGTTGTTCCAGCATCCTTTGGAGATCGTCGCTTGCAAATAGCACGAGATCGTCCGCGAATCTTAGGTGAGACAAATGGTGTTACGCCATTGATGTTAATGCCGCTGTTATCCCATTCAAGTGTTTTTACGACATCCTCAAGTCCTCGCCGGATTGGAACGGAATTGATTAAATCGTGAACTCGTACCTGCAGAGTGGCTGAACGGTAGAGCTCCCGGGGCACATCCACGTAGCGGGAATCGATGTGGCAGTGATGAAGAGCGTGGAACACGGCCCAATGTTTGATACTGTCAAAGACCTTCTCATAATTGACGAAGGCCATGACAAGAGGCAGCTTAAATTCGAGACATTTCCCCATCAGCTGATTAACCGTGTGGATATGGTCGATGGTTGAGAAGCCGCTCCGAAAGCCAGCCTGCTCAATAGGCTGCGCTTCGTCAAGTTCACTGGTAAGCCAGATGGTCAAAATCTTTGTAAAAAGTCTATAAATCAGAGAGAGCAAGCCAATCGGCCGATAATTGCTAAGTTTTGCAATGTCGCCTTTTTTGTGGATGATGGTGACGATGGCATTCTTCCATTGCTCTGGTGTTCGAACTTCATGAAGAATTTTGTTGAAAAGTTTCACAAGCACTTTTACCACAGGATTTCCTGCTTTGAGTAGTTGGACTGTAACACCATCATCTAATCATCATCAGATGATGGTGTTGATAAGGCACTGAGTACTAATTTAGAGTTATTAATTTTTCTTCAAATAACCTGAAGAAAATTCATGTTACTAAGAAAAGGCTTCATATACCAAAGAATGAGCCAGTCTTTTTGAACAATTTCGTTATGTACACGTTTAATTTAAATATTACTACCGGTAGCTTTTAACGCCAGATGATCGAAACAATGTCAGTAATGTCATTCCCAAACGGCACTGATAAATCTGTAGTTGTCTTTAAAAATCCTCCAACTCTATCCGGGGCAGGGTGCCCAGGAGTTGGAGGATTATTAAATACACACACAACACTTACAACAAACAAAAACATTACTGATATTGATTCGTTTATCTGGCATTGAAACCTGCCATTGATAATATTAAAATTTAATTATTTTTTGATAATATTAAAATTATTGAAAATTATTGATAATATTAAAATTTAATTAATTTAATTATAAATTAAAACCTGTAGAAAATTACGAAATTATAGAAAAAGACTGGCCTTTCCAGGTAACTTGAATTTTCTTCAGGTTGTAAATAAATTTTATTGAATGTCAAGATGTTCACCACTATGATATTCAATTATTTTTTGTGAAAGTCTCCTCTAGTTAGTTATAATTGTACCAAGTGTTATTTCTTCAGGTTATTTGGAAAAAAGTAACAACTCTAAATTAGCATTCTGTGCCTTATTTTGCATCAAGCCTCAATGTCTCGGTAAACCCACCGCATGTCCTCATGGTAAACATTTGAGTTGAGAGATTTTTTGGTAAACATTTGAGTTTATCTTCAGAAAACATTCCTGGAGATAGCGTAGTGTATCGTAGTTATTCAACTGCCAATGATAACAACAATGAACTAAATTTTCGTGTTTGACGTTTTCAACAAAATCATTTAATCAATGATATCACCGTTAATTTAAGTAAAATACAAATTTAAAAGATCGCTAAGATACAAATAGATGAAAAAGCAATTAAGTCATTTTTGGTTATCTGAAAACTTATGAATAACACTATCTTTCTCAAGTTTATTGGGACAAATAAACCACAATACTTTAAAACAATCTTCGAAAGTGAACGTTATTTAAATTTTTAATTTAAAATTTGGTGGTGTTTTTAAGTTAAGGTGGTAACACAAACGCCACCAAAACCACCCAATTTGAGCCACGTAAGATGAAGTCTCAAAAAATAAATTACGGAAAAAAGTAAAAACTTAAAAATCAAACCGAGACGATTAAATTATGATAAAATAATGACAAAATTAGTCGCTTAATTTGGTTTCAGAATACGACCTCAGGATAAAACAAAAATTGAGCCCAAATGGAGCCAGGAAAGCTGAATATTTTTTTTGCTTTTTTGGCGGGAAATGGGACATAGTGCCCATGTTTTTCGATGCCAGGTCCTAATACACGACTGAGGCTTGCGCGGGGCAAGAACGCAATGGTTTTTAGTTAAACTACTTACCAGTTGCAACCAGTTGAGTATTTGCCACCAAAACTACAATTTTCGCGTGGACAAAGTTTGATCAAGTACCCAGTCTCGCACATACTGGTAATTGCAATACTTTCAATGATTTTAGTTAGTGCTTCTAATAGTGAATAACATACATGGAATTGTTTTTCTTAAAAGCGTAAACATTTTACCAGAACGACTATTTTATACAATGAAACAGAAAGTGGACACACCAGCAAAATTTAAAATCGGGACATTAATATTTTTTATTAATTATTATTGTACAATGAATTTTTTGAAATTCTTGCCCTAAACTCATTTTACGTCTAATTAAACTATAAAAAATAAATCATTAATATTTCTTCACTTTACACCTTGTATCTGAGCCTGGACTCGCAAAATTTACGCATGAGATATTCACCCTTTAATTAAGTTATTAATTAAGGCACAAAAAGTGACAACACCTTATAATAGATGATAATGAAAGGCACTGAACAAGGCGATGGGGAGTGGAAAAAAAAACTTGATTACCTATAATCAAGTTTTTTTTAACCATTATACAAAACACGAGGCTCTAAGTTAGGGTAGGTTCGAGGTTAGACAGTTTTTTTTATATTTTCAGCCTTCTGTTAGATCAAATATAAATGTACTTACATCTCTTGACTGGTTTTCAGATCAAAAGCGTTTCAAAGCAATTGGGAATACATGAGGTGCTCAATACCAAAGCGGGAAGACTTTCTGGGGGCGAAAGGAAAAGACTGACAATTGCCACTGAGCTGCTAACTGACCCTACTCTTATGCTTTTAGACGAACCTACTAGGTAAATTCAATTCATACTTATACGTGTAGCTACCGCTATTTCTATACCTACCTGTATAGCCGTGGCAAAGAGTGCGTATAACGGAGGCATCTCACGGCTCGAGATTTCATGAGCCGTATCGCGCGCCTTTGAATTTACCGACAAGTCCATGCCGGCACTGTCTGCACTGATCTCATGGCTCATTGGCGCGAGCTCGCGTGACGGGCGGCGCAATCCATGAGCCATGGGCCGTATAGGAAACCCGCTTGACACGATTCTCAACGGCTTGCCTAAGAAATATATTCTCCAGTCTAGCAGTAGATATGCAGCACTTACTGCATTACTTTTACATTGGTTTACCTTCTTTAATATCCCCCCTTCGCCTCTGAAACATTGATACTGTAAAGACCGTATGTCTTCATTCGAATATTGCCGCTAAGTACCCAAGTAAGTAAGATATATTAAGATTATCCATTATTAATGACTTGCTAAGTAGATTGCGTAGCAAAATCATCTGCCTACCTATAACTCATAAAGTTCATAGTCTTTGGGAAATAATGATTATGAATACCAACAAAACGTTTCACCTAAAACATCCCTTGGATTCAGCGAAATGGTCTGAACATGTTCAAGAACTTAAGACAAAAGAGCAAAGTAAGGTTTATTTATTAATCTGAGTTTGATACACAGAAAACTTTCCTCCTGAAAGTCATTCTCAGAACTGTTTTCTAATCTGCCTTCAGCCTTAAAGCCGTACATCAACTTTATAACAGTGGTTTATTTTCGATGGTGATCATTTTCTATCTTGCACCATACCAGTGGCCTGGACTCCGTGTCATCGATGTCAGTAGCGCGAGCTCTACGCAGCGTGGCACGGAGTGGACGCACTATAGCCTGCGTGGTCCACCAACCTTCTTCTAAGCTGTTTGCGATTGCCGATGACGTCATACTCCTGGCCAATGGAAGGACTTTATACGCTGGACCGGTAGCGGATGTTCCTGGTGCTTTGGCACGAGCAGATTTTGTCTGCCCGCAGTATTACAATATGGCTGACTATTGTAAGTATACCTAATTGCACTTACTTCACAAATGGTTCCTTACTCTACCTACGCTTCTGAAGAAAAGAAATACCGAAATCCCACAACGAAGAAGCTATTTATATCACAAACTGCGGATTCTCTGATGATTATCGGGGTGCTACCAATAACTTAGATCTTAATTGATTTTTTTGAGGGACATTCGCATCTGGGTGGAGTGAAAACATAATTACAACACAAAATTATAAGGGTACACCCTCATTAGATAGATTATTTTGTTTTAAAAAACAATGGTAATAACGTCAAGAGTACAATGCTGCAGTATTCTTTGAGTTCGCTGGAAAAACACAGTAACACACTGTTTTTATGTCTTTCCAGTGCTAGAAGTAGCGTCATTTGAGCATCAAGGAAACATAGAATTGCTCGAGAATGAAGCTAATAATTATGCCTATGAAATGAAGAGGATTGTCAGAAGTGATATTAGAGATAAGAATGCAAAAGGTAACGTCTTGTTTTATAAATGATAACGCGAATTTGAAACTGCATACAGTATTTATTTATAAGTTTTTAGGTATAGTACTTAGGTAGAGGTACTTCTAAGCACCTTGTTTTAAATCATGTATCTTAGAAATGTCTTCTTGCAAGGGATATTCTTCTAATTCAGTAAACTATTGCACATACCTAATGACGACTAACAATCTTATCTCAGTCTCAAAATAAGCACGTCCCACGGTCATGGGACACCGAGGGAAACTACCTTTAATTTAAGATACTATGTTACTTAAAAGGAGTTAATTCTTATAAGTAATTGACCCTTTCGATCGGCATCATAAAAATACAGGTATTCACATTTGGTGGCTTCGATTCCCAAATGAGGGAAGCCACTATTTACTTCCTTTGAGTGCAGTAGGTATTACTTACATTTAAAAATTAAATATTGTCTTCTTAAAGCAAAATATCCTATCTACCTACAATATTTAAATCCCCTCCGTTCTCATAGCCATGAGACGGCCAGTATAAGTACTTGAGGGTTTTCTTGTTCTAAGTAATTAGGTAACCACCTAACCTAACCTAACGTTTCTTAACCTGTGGTCCGTGGACCCCTAACGGGTCCATGTAATGAACGCCAAAGACATGCAACCGTCACACTAACTATTCATTTGTAATAAGTAAAGTTTAATAGTAAACAATATAGGCCAGTAAAAGCTATACCTAGTTTTTTTATATTTTCGGAAAGGATCCGGGAGCTCTTTGAAATTTTAACAAGGGTCATTACCAAAAAACGTTTAAGAAGCAATGACCTAAAGGATAAATATTTAATTGTCTATCTATGCCAGAAGAAAGTATAGAATCCACAAGATAATCTCAATTATTCTGACCTTAAAAATTTTAAACGATTATTTTACAGAGATACTAATAGAAGCTGAAGCTCTACTAGGTGTTCAGACAACATACTCAAATGGCTACGCGGCCTCTGTTTGCCAGCAACTAAGGGCATTGCTACGGCGTGGCTTCATTGGAGTACTCCGCGATGTGCATTTAACTCAAGTGAGATTTTCTTCTTCTCATTTACAAAATTGCTTTTGTCTTCGTTGTCACTCGACATGAGAATACTTCTAATATCTACCTACAGAGGTCGCATGTTCATGTTTAAATCATTCTCTCTAAAATTGATTTGTACTCGTATGAGCTTTTTGTTGTGATACTTTTGGCAGGCCATATGAGATTTCATTAAAGTTTATTATATTTTAAATTATTTACTTCAAAATATAGAATGATACTCCAAAATGTATCGAAATTTCGGAGTATAATTTTTATTCTTTACAGTACTTAGCCTACGTGGTCTAATCCAGGACATAGTCAATCAAAAATGCATGTATCTAAATCTAAATTCTTTCGTTACATCAGTCCAATTGGGTATCTTTAGGTGAAACCGTAGTCCTCCGCTCCATAAAACTTTTTATTATAAATTTAACTTGTACACATGTTTGCAGATTCGTCTAGTCGCACATTTGGTAGTCGCATTGCTTCTCGGGGCTCTCTACAACGGCGCAGGCGCCGAAGCGAATCGCATAATCACCAACACCGGCTGTTTATTCTTCTTTCTACTGTTCCTATTCTTCTCCAATGCTATGCCAACTATACATACGTGTACGTAATACATACTAATATCACATTCCATATATTGGTATCTCAATAGGTACATTACAAAACCACAAGTTAGGCTCAATTTATTTTGCCGCGGAGGAAATGGAAGCTAATTTTTGTAACGAAATAGCACATGGCATAATAAACTTTGTGTGAATTGTGTAACATACAAACTAGATACAAGCCAAAAAGACAGGTTGCGCGTCTTTTGGAGAATTCTATTTCATTTCACTACTTCTACACTACTTCCGCAGCTCCCGCATCGCCTCGTATCTATAAATTTGTACATTACACAATTGACTTCAATTCATTATAATAATTCATTTATTAATAATAATAATAATAATATAATTATTTCTTCAGACAACAATTTATTTTTTCCAAGTTCCAATGATTAGTAAACTTACAAAAATAACTTAAAGACTAGGTTAGAGGTAATAATAATAAATAGCACAAAAAGTTACACAAAAATTAAAGTGGATAAAAAACGGGTAGGTTTTATCTGCCTCTGTAAAAGCGGGGCAGCCCCGTCAACATTCTGAACTCATTATTGTACTGGCCTCGTAGGGCACTAACCGATTTTTTAGTATAACTGAACTGCTCGAGTAGAACAATTGGCAGTAGGCTTTGAAAAGTACAATTTTTACTTGCTTACTACATCGAGCAAACCTGCGTGCCAGCATATTACTTCTGAATTTATTTTAAACTATGTACCTACAATTATTATTATTATGCTTTGTACAATTTCGTCACGTCAATTCGCTTCCCTTCCGTTCCACGGTAATGTAAACTGAGCCTTATAAATTATAAACGTACCACAGCTATCATAAGGATTAGAGAGTACCTATCGAAAAACTGCATAAGGCAAAAATTTTTAAAAATTGTCGTCCAGTAACGGAAATTTTTAATTAACCTACCTATTGACACCCAACAACCTAGTAAGAACAATGTAGTGAATGTCAGTTTTGATTAAAATTTCTGTCCTATTATTACGATGACATGCTTATAATATATTATGGGTTACTTTTCATTTTAGTTCCTGTGGAAGCAACAGTAGTACTTCAGGAGCACTTGAACAAATGGTATTCATTAGCCACGTACTGCGCTTCAAAGATCATAGTCGATTTGCCTGTACAAGTAAGTTGTTTCATCCTTCGAGCCGAATATTTGTTATTATGTTACATTAATAATAAAGTGATTTGTCTCCAAATTTCAGTTACTATGTGCAACAGTATTTGTGTTCCCCGCCTGGTATCTCACTTCGCAACCGTTAGATCCCTACCGAATGGGTTTAGCTTGGGTGATATGTGTCTTGGTGACTATCCTTGCTCAAACATTTGGTTTGGTGGTTGGCGCTGCATGTGATATGAAGGTAATTTACTGTTAAATTGTTTGTTAAAATCATTGTCAACAATAATTACTAGCCAGGATTCGTCTAAAGAGAAGTTTAGGTCATAGTTCACTTTTTTATACGTCTTCTAACGGTTGTAAACCTTCTTCGATATTAAGGTTTCACCACAAAGTTGTCCTTCGTCGTTAGTGACAAGTACTGCTACTAAACATTCGCTAATGTGTTGACGGCAGCACATCTAGCCACTCTTTAACGGATCTTGTTCCGTTGCACTAGAAGCGATATTCGAATTAAAATGTAATTTAATGAGCTGTTGACTGTAAATCACTATTTTTTTGAGGTGGTCATTATTATAGTAACAGACAGTGTAATGCAATATTGTTACGCAATGTAATACTCATTATCGAACAACTATATTAATTGTTGTTATCCTGTTATTCTATTGTTGCTAACTAAAAAGTATGCGATATAATAGTTGTCACAGAGAAACGGTGCTACTCAAATAATTTGACAATGCCCCGAACTGCAAATCTTACGATTATAATCTTTCTGTGAACAACATAAAGTTCTCGTTGTCATTTCATATTTTATCTTATTATTATAAGTCACATACCTATTTGAAACTACGAATATGTGCTTTATGTAATATCGGAATATTGTCGATTTTCACATTTGATATCGACAGGCAGTTAATATCAATCAATTTAAATACAAGTGGTGCCGAAAACAGCCATGTTGTTTTGGTTTATTGGTTAATGATTGTATATTGGTTAATGTGATAGTCAACAACAACAATAACATTATAACAAGAGTGATTTGTGTTCATTGCGTTAATGCGATTATCAGTTTTTGAATCGAAAATTATATTATGAATAGTCACATTTTACAAAGTCCCGTTTTTTTCATTAATTACCCATTAGTTCATATTTCAGAATGACGTTGGGTACATTCAGAAGCAACTATTTTGCCACTGGACTACCACCCTATCACTCTCAGCCACTTTAATGAGAATTGTGTTATAATCTATAAATTTTGTCCTTTCAGTTGGGCCTCTTCGTCATACCAGCTGCCAACATCCCAATGCTTATGTTCTCGGAATTCTTCATCCCGTATCAAGAGATACCATTTTATTTACAACCATTTGGCGTCATTTCTTACTTTAGGTATTCTTTCGACGCATTCCTCAAAACAGCTTACGGTTTCGGTAGAGAAGATCTCCCTTGTCAAGCGGTATTTTGCATGTTCAAAAAGCCAGAAAAATATTTAGAACATCTAGGATTAACAAGGGACTTTATGACTGACATTTGGGCTCTACTTATTTGGATTTGGATACTGCAAACATCATTAATCGGTGTGTTAGTTTTCAGAGTATACAAAGCTTGTAGATAAACGTTGCAGAGAAATTTACCTACCTACTTAAATATTTGACTGTCGACAATCTCTGTACTCATCTTTTTTTTTTAATGCAGGGACAGTACAAAGTACTCAGTAAACAAGTTAAATGTTATGATACTCAAAAGCGCATCAAGCTTGACAATTAAGATTTAAATTCAACTTTAAGCCGATTAGACTCAATTCACAATGCAGCAAAACGGAGTGAAGTTAATTTTGTAACGAAATTGTACGTAGTATAATCAGCTTAAAAACGTCAACTGTGCAACGCACATACTACTTAGATATAATACGATAGCTGCAAAATGCTTTTTGGCTCGTACCTATCCATTTTGTACGTTACACACTTGATACAAATTTCATTGGTATGAATGGTTATTTTTTTATAATACCAAGTGACGGGCAAAAAAAATCGTGCGCCTGGTGTTCAGCGACACGCCTGTCCAAAGCCGTTGCAGTGCCTCTTCGAGTTTTAAATCGCAGAGATCTGAAGAACTCTGCCACTGCGCCAGTAACCCTGGGACATAAGTTGACAAGTCCTACGTGCCAGTAATTTCAACCTTACCATTCAAAACCTTGGCGGCAGAAGTAAGTAAGATGTCAATACTTCCCCGAACGAACTCTAATGCTCAGGCTACGCAGAGGCGGCCACGGAAGCGTGCCGGGCGCGGGAATTTTTGTAATGTACGAGTGCATATGAACCCTACCACACGAAACGCGCGGCGGCCGCGCGTGGGCAAGCAAAATTACCCGCGCCCGGAACACTTCCGCGGCCGCCTCTATGCGGCCAGAGGATTACATAAGGAACTCTACTGCTACGGCTACTAAAATTCGCTACAATTCCGTTAGGCGGCAATGTAATTTAAGCCTTACGACACGAGCGGTCCAAAGTCCAAAAACTTGATGTGCTTTTGATTGTAAGTACATACACAAATGGGGTGAATAAGGTGATTGTCACACTGCTCCGCGACACGCATCGGTGTGCGGGACGACGGAATCAAGCGCGCGTTGGCGGAGATTTGCGTCAACACTTGGTTTACTCCGCGCGGGAGCAACTGTATTGCGGTCCCTCGCCACATAGGGATCGCTCCCTCTAAAGACCGAGCAGCCACACACTCAAGTCTACTGTTGAGCGCAATGTGCCACATTGAGTCTCGTCGCACTCCTCCATGCGGGTGAGCATGATAGGCGCGCGCGCCGCACTCCCACGCGGTTGCTAGCGTTGTAGTGTGTTGGATGCGTGTTTTGTATATAAACTGAGATACTTCGGTACAATGTCAATTAAATGCTGTGACACGGAGCAGTGTGAAAGAGGCCTATTTAGTATTAAGAATTGAACAAATATTTTTCTACATTGTTTTAAAGTATTTTTATACTACATAATTTAATTATAATTACGACTACCTTACATATATATATATGTATACCTACCTGCATATATGCAAAACCAATTAATTTTCCACCGTGATAATATCACAAATTTAGACTAACATTAATATTCGTGTTATCAGTAAGTAGATATAAACAGTTCTTTGAAATAATTATAGACACAAAGATCGAACTAACACAAAGAAGAATTCCATCGATCCGATTGGACTCGGACCAACGTCTGTCGCCTCATCATGGCTGCCGCTCCACAACTTGAGCAACGGATCGAGCCAGCATATGTTACGAATTTCTCTATGTACTTGTTGCGGATCTTTGTATAGGATTTTTTAACGGCTTTTTTGCCGTAACGCCTTTTTGAATTCCGCAACAAAGCGACGAGTGGAGCAGGGTGGAACTGATAATACATTTAAAAGTACATGTGATACGCTATCTGTGATTAACTACAGGATCTACCAACCTCTAAAAATCAATAAAAGACAAAAGAACAAATTATCGGTTTACTGTTGTGTACAAAATGCTTGATAACTTTTGATAAGCATAATTAACTTTGATATAACTTTGACTTTTGATTATCTACAATGAGTTTAAGAATACTGAGATTATGAAATTAAGATTAGATTACGTACAATGCAACATACATGCAGCAACATCGAATATGTTCTCCATATTTGCTTGTAAGATGTTAATAGGAAAATGAAGAAACTATACCAAGTTAAGTTCTTTTTTTTTTATTTAATGGTTCGTCGTCACTAGAAACATTCGTGAAAGACTAGAAATTGCCAAGTTCGTATACAAGTTTTTAATTACAGATCAACGAGCAGAAAGTGATATATATACACTGCTCACTTGCAAGCGGATAACATATCGGGAGTCCAAATCAAGCATCAATATTGACAACGTTATTTTTTACTTCGCTCTCTGAATTTCGAAGATATGCCTTCGGCACTTGGAAGTACATAATACGAAAAACAGCTATATGGACTAAATTCTGTGCTTTTGTTTGCAAGTGCAGGAGAAATGTCCAGTAAGGGGCACCACACATATTAACCGGAGGCAGCTCGAGCCGGTCAAAAAATCTTTGTGTCCATGTAACTAGAGTGAAAAACACTTTTTCCAGGAGTACGACGCGAAGTCGCCGGAAAGCGATCTTGTCGTATCTCGAAAAATAGGACTTTGCACCAGGACCGAAAAACTATTCCAAAAAATTATTTCTCTCTAATTTGAATTAGTATGGTGTATATAGTCATACTTCAAAATTAAAGAGAAATAATTATTTGAAATAGTTTTTCGGCCCTGGTGTAAAGTCCTATTTCTCGAGATACGACAAGATCGCGTTCCGGCGTCGTTAATACATGTGTCGACGTCGAGTAACATCTGTATTGACTAAATTCTGTGAAATACAGAGGAAATATCTATAAGGGACTCACCACACATATTAACGCAGAATCGGCTTGCGCCGGTCACAAAAAGATGTTGCGTGTTTCGCTTCCGCTCCGATCGCCGAAGCGAAACGCACAACTTTTTCGCTCTTATTAATTGCAGGGACATAAAGCTATTTTCCGTACAGGATTACGATAACGGGAGACCTTAATGCACCACTATATTTTTTTAAACATATTAATCATCTCATTTCAAACAATCAAAATCAAATAGTAAATATATAATTAACTTTCTAGCGTTATGTTCACTATCGAATGCTCTCGGTGACAACACACGTTTACAGTCTCATGTTATATTTATTATTGGAATTTTACTTTCGGACCGTAAAATAGCGGCGCTTGTATTAACTTTACTATTAAATTAAGTTCATATCGTGAATAAAACCAATTCGTTCTCTACAATTTTGCACTGAAACATACATGCAAAATATGTACCAAGAATTTAAATATAATATATATTATTAACAACAGATATTACAACAGAGCATCAATAAACTTGTATACAGTACAACTACTTTTTAATGTCCCTCAGCAATCTTCGGATTTCCGAATTCACCCAAATACTAATTTCGATGTAAAACTTTAATCCATGCAATTACGTTTTACCATCTAAAACAATTTGAATTCAGAGCTGTGTACTTTATCGTTGTTTTGTTTTGATTTCCATGTGAACTATATAGAACTGTATGTAAAACTATTTTCCCTTTTTATAATAACATTTACTCCTTAACAATATACCAAGCAAGTTAACAAAAATATTAAAGTAAATAGTGATGATATGCACGAAGAAAAATTCCTTCGATTTGACTAGACTCGAACTGGTGCCTGTTGCGAAACCGGGGTCACCACGCTTAGTTCAGTTGGTTAAAAGTTGTATTTTCATAAAAAAATATATGAAAATCATGGCATTATTCAATAAATAAATACTAAATAAAGTGTTTTTCTTTTATAATGACTTTCTAGAATAGTCTGAAAATCAATTCATTCAGCAGGAAGACGGTATACAAACTGCTAAAGCATATATAACGGTCAAAACCAACGAATCGAACACCGATACATATTGCCACTTGTTTTGTTGGGCAATAAAAATCTCGGTGTTTTTTTTTTCACAACAAAATTTATAAAGACAAATATGCTTTTTATATAATATTTTGGTTCATGTCATTCTTCTTGAAAAACAGATACATAATCACTGTTCTTGAAAAACAGAGATATAAAAATATCCATAAAAACATATAACTAAAATAAGTAGTAGTAGCTACTCTATATAGTTCCAAGTCGATTGAGTGCACCAAGTGCAAAGGGCAACTAATAGAAATCCGACGACAACCAAAACACGAAGATCGCCGAGAGATATTAAGAACGTAGTAATATTGTACTTAATACACATATACGTACACCTATTGCATATTATTACATTACTTTAGTCAGACATCAATGACATCAATCAAATACACATAAAGTCGGGGCTCCACTTGCGCAGTCTCGAGATGCCTCATCCTGAGCATGCCTCAGGCTGCGGCATATTCGTGCATCTCCACTAGAGCAACCTACACTATAAACGAGGCAGCTTGCTTCAGCCCGAGCCAGTTTCTCAATCGCGATGACCCGGGAGCATCGAGCACGTCCAACCGTCTTCACTGAGCGCACAGCTCACACTGAGATTCCTTTGACACGGACATTTATCGACATTAAATGGCTCACTATGAGGCTGCCTCATCTGACTCACGTCATGGCATGCCTCAACCTACGCCAGCGTCTCCCCTTGTATGCCTCGGGTCGAGGCTGCCTCTAATGGAATCCCAGCTTAATAACAGCCACATACACCTACAATCGTTAATGAGTTTACAAAGTACGGCACAATGCAAAAACAAAAATTACGAAATGAAGACGAATAATTACTGATGTAATTAAAAATAATACTGTGTCTATATTACATAAAAACTATAACTTCGGCTAAATTTGAAAACTATTCGTAACTTCGTTTTTGGACAACGTCCTTGTTTTACTCTTCAAGCGCAATAGGGGGCAATCGAAACTCAAAATATAATTTGTGGACCCTCTTTTTACTTATAAAGGTACAAACATAGATTGTCATATAATTATTTCAAGTAATTTTGTTTTTCGTGCCTACTCACCAGGTGACATTAATGGTAGTTACGAGGTTTTCGAATTTAGCTGACTATAAACATTTTGACGTCTAGCGCCGTTGCTGCCGTTTTTTGTCTAGAATTGGTAACACATATTGGGTATCCATAATATTTTAGAAGTCAGACCTTAAAACTCACATAAAATAAATACTAAGTACTTTTATATAATTTAAATTTTAAAATTATGGTAATGGGTACGTTATTTCAGCACAGCCATTCAGCTAAATGTATAAAGTCCTAGCAAAATATTTATTTATATTTAAGAAGCATATTTCCATTACACAAATATGCAACTCGCTTAGAGGAACAATTTAAATGCGTAGAAGTTCATATTGAAATGAAAACGCAAATTAAAGAATCTTTCTTACATAATAAAAACGAGCGTGTGTAGTTCTTTTAATATTTTTTGAGAGAAATTATATTTTTTATAACTATCCACTTGCGTTTCATTATTTACTTATAAACTTTGGTTTCTGCTGATACATAAATGAAGTTTCATATTCGCTATATTTACTAAATACTTACGTATTTAAAAAAAAATACTGCTGATTTTAAAAAATTGTGAATGCTTAAGATAAAAGCTAATTTAATACCGGATCGTGTAAAAATCAATAATAATTTATGATTAAAAAATCAGGTAATATATAAGTGCTAAGCTTAATAGCATCCTCTTTAGAAATAACTAGAAATACTTTACAAGTACAAACATTTTATTAGCCGATATCATCGTAACAGCTAACATTTCAGTGACTTTCTAGTAAGCATCAGTTTTTTTTTTTCAAGCACCTAAAGAGATTTATATCACCTAAAGAGATTTATATAAATCGTTTTAATTTGGAATGTTCATCTAAAATAAATCTTTGGTGCAATACATCTCACATTTTAATGACTATGTTCTAAGCGTATAGGACAACAAGGGCGCCTTCAAAGACTTTTGTAGAAGACTCCTATATCTTTCTAATTTGTAGTAGAAGCGCCGCATCCGCGCTACTATACTCCGTTCAACAATTTCTTTTACATTTGACAGCTCGGCAGCAGTACTAATCACTTAGTGATATTCTCATGCGTTACTGATTCGATATCTTTTTACAATCGACTTTATATATGAAGAAGTTTCAATCATGAATGTGAGCGAGTTCCCACTCACAATGAACTAATAATAATTAATGTTACTGAGGATGCAAGTGACGATTCCAGTTTGTATGGAGAAGAATCCGACGATTCATTAACAATTCGAATTTATTATATTTTTAATTTATGAATTTTAATTTATTAGACAGTAAAATTTAAAAGACAGTAAAGAAATCGGCAGATGAATAAAATATAATTTTGATGACATTACACAAAAATAAAGAAGAATGAAAGACTGAATGTTGTCGAGGTAGATAAGGCCGAGTGTTACGCTAGAAAGGTTAGAGTGAAGGTAAATGAGAGTTGTACAAATGATCCTGACACAGAAGAAACTGGGACGACTCTACACAGACAAGAGAAACGCTCTTAACACGCACAGATAGGCCCTCCTATTTACGAATTCGTGAGGTCACTGTTGCCTCAAAAAACTTTTGAAAAATTATATTTTTTACATTTGTTAGTGGGAGTTTTTTGGTTGAAAGAAAGTGAAACTTTTTTCGGGTCTATAATTGCGTGACTCGCCAGACGTGACCATGGACTTCTGAAGGAGCTCAAAAACGTTAATTTGTTTGAAAAGTAATATACGTGATTTTAGATCCGAACACAGTTTCATTTCCATTGTGAGTAGGAATTAATTTTCACACATTGAAACTGAAAGTTACTTTGTCAAAAACAACTCGTGGACTTTTTATTTCTTTGGACAGGAACTGGTCTAAACAGTGCTCACAAAGGTTATGCCACGTGTGATATGGTAGACTTTAGATGTGTAATAAGAAATGATATTATTATCTTTCTTGACTTATTATGATGAACTAGCCTACCATGTGTCTCCATTTCAGACGAATGTATATCGAGAATATCAAAGAACCCTGAACCTATTCACGTGCAAGAGATGAAACCTTGTCGACCGGACCCTTATTGTTTTGCGGCTATCAATTCTGAACAATCTGTCGCTTACGGACTTAGCCATAGGTACTTTTTTCTCTTTATACTGGATTAAAATCACAGGATACAAGTCTTTTTTACGCGGAGATATGTACTCTGGACCAAGTTGCTGAATCTAAAGTAATTTGAAACACTCGGTAATGTTGAGATGCAGGCACTAACCCTTTCGAAACCTATGCCAAAAATAAGCGTTAGTGATAATTAGGTCTTCAAAATGCATGATAGCGATCCACACAGATAGCTTTTAAGTATCAAACAGAGACATCATCTACAACAAATTGACGGAAACTGAAGTTATTATGATATCAATTGACCTTGCGAACAGGTCGTTAGCTGGTAGCATCTAAGCGACACGCCTGTCCACAGTTTAACAGTTGCAGTGCTATTCAAAGTTTTAAATCGCAAAGATCCGAGAGACAACCACTGTAGCGGTCACTCTGAGAAATAAAGTTGATAAGTCTCATATGCCTGTAGTTTCATAAGCAGTCTACCCTATTAAAAACTGCTTGGCTGCTGAAATAGGTATGCTGGAAGTACTACCCTGGATGAACTCTTTCTCAAGGAGCTCTACGATTGCTAAACTCAAGGATTAGTCAAAATTATAACGTATACAATCATAACGTACACACTCAACAAAGTCCCGCACTAGGGAAACCCTGTGTCGCGGGTGCCATGGACACACACATAGACAACCACAAATTACACCCAAAACTCGCGAGAGAAATAAATGTAAGCCATACAAATATTTCTCTCGAACCAGGGATCGAACCTGGGACCTCAACGTGGCAGTCATAGTCACTGTTCGGTTTACTACCAAAACCTATAACAACTGAGAAACGACTTGAATAATCTTCTTTACATAATCTGTCAATACCGGCTTAAGCTAAAGAGCACGTCGCTTCACTATAGTAAAGAAAAAACAGTGTCTATTATGTTTTGCATTTTTGTCTACAGTCTATCAATAATTACAGAACTTCATAGGCATATCTATGTCAAAAGTAAAATAAATTGTTGAACAAAGTATACTAATTTTCATACAATATCTAATCTGCAAAAGTGGCGCTCGCGCGGCACCACTGCAGCTGCACTTCTAAATATTGTATGAAAATTAGTAGTCGTACGGCTGTAGCGCTTCTATAGGCGTCAATTTGAAGGCGCCTTTAGCGTCTATCCAGACTTTCATAGCTTGCAATAGCATAGATATAAAACATTTAATATGCCTTACTTTATCGATTGCGCTATTCGCTTGATAATAGACTCGATTTACGTACAGCCTCTCATATATTAATACTATGACGTGTTGTTTAAGGTGATTAGTTTCCTGAAACAAAACATAGATTTTTCTATTATTTTCCAGTTGACATTTTAAATAAGCAATTGAAAGCACAATATGTCCAATATTTACTAGAGCGGAAAAAAACCTGCATTCAGTAATCTGAAGAAAACGAAAAAAAAAAGAAACTTCAGAAACGCATATTGAGTAGCGTTTAACCTTAGTGCTTATTATGGTAACTATTAAATACAAAACAGAAATACACAACTACAATGCGAATTTGGCACGTATTTTGCTGACATATGGGAGGTTTTCGCCAAATTCGTGAAAAACCAATACGTACGGCACTTACGGCCGGAACCGGCTGGTAAGCATACACCTTTACAAACAAAAATTATTATTACCTGCAGTAATCAGGAGACAGTGTCATTATCTTATACCACAATAAAAAACTTAATGCGATGCTCCATGTCCGTAGAGGTCCAAATACGAAGGACATAGTTCCATATTCCAGCCAAAAGAAATAGGCTAACAACATTTGTACTGACAACAAAAACACAAAGGGCAAATGCTTTACTACCCTTTTTACTCCTCTGACGTGAATGGTAAACAGACGATTCTCGAGAGCATGCGCCAGCACGAAAAGTAGTGGTATATGCACAAATAATAGCTGCACACTTCCATACATATATGTAAATGGTTCAGGCAAATATGATCCTTTGATTATTATGCCCCAAGCAAAAATGGCTCCAGTGTACCCATCTATTAGTTGTCCAACAGCCCATGGCCCAAGTGGCAAATAAATGGCGTATAGTACAATGGGATAAAAGACAGCATCAATTTTACTTAGCAGCCACACTCTTCTGAGAACATGTCGACCAAACTTTCTGCTATGTTTCAATGGACGTTTTTGTACTCTCAACATGAAGAGAGGCAAAATATTGAATGCCAGAAGTGTTGCGAACATTGACTGAAACTGGAAAAATATTGTTCTTAGATGTTATTTATATTTACCAAAAATTACACAAACATCTTGCATTTCAAGTAACTTACCACAGTCCCTGCATCTAGCATTAGTAAGATTCTGGCTAAAAGTGGGAAGTTGACAACAGTGCCATCTAGCGAAAATGGGTGTTCAACATAAGCTTCTTTGCCCACTTCATCAACAGCATTGACATGCAAAATGTGAATACCACTAGCAAAATGACTAGGTAGCCACTGGTAAACATATAGAGGGCCTTCAATATGCCTACATTCCTCCCAACTTGTTTGATCAAAAGATATTTTCACCGAGTCTATATGTACATCACTAAACACTAATATTCTAATAAATGATGATTCTGGCATTAGATCTAATGGTTCTCTGCCTGGCATAGCATATTTCGCGTGTTTTGGGTTTGTCACTAAAATTGCTGGCCATGTGTTGTGCTTTAGATCCACAAAAGAAAACATTCCATGATCAATAGCAGCTATTCTGTACATTCTATTGTCTTTCCAATCTCCTAGTTCAAGTTCTAAATATCCTTTTCTTTGTTTGGTATACATTTTGGGAACAAAACCACCCATGGAATGTAGATGGCCACATAGGAACACTTGTGACTTTTGTGTACTGCCAATATGTTGGCGAAGATTCATTTTTGGCAAATCCTTTTCTAGACAAAGAATGCATGATGTTGGATAGTGTGCAAACCATACAATGTGATCTGCTTTTGTTTCCGCTTCTGATTTTAATTTCTGAATATACTGTTGCTCGTGGATGTCCAAAATACCAATAAAGTTAAAAGGCCTTTTTAGCCCAGGTTCTGGACATGCATCTATTCCTAAAAATGCAACACTGACACCATTGTATTCTTGAAAATGTAAATAGGAACGTGTATGAAGTAATCCTTGTACTGAAAAGTTCCTGTAATAATTCTCTTGTGAGTTTATACTCTTAATGTTGAAGTTATCTGCAACGTAACACAAAGGAAATCGTGAGTCATTAGTTCAATACTGTTAATAGATACATACAAATCATAATTCAACAAGTGAGTTAGAGCACACAACTTATGTAAACATTTTTTATGCTTTACTCTTTATGAAAAAATAAGACGATATGTATGACTAAAAGTGATGTTGGAACCTTTGGAGTGAAACTTGGAACTTAAATCATTTACTTTGTACTGTATTGAACAAAAATCATTTTCGTGCATACAATTTTAAGTCAGATATATCATAAATTGCAGTGGCCTGCAGTCCTAAATGTCTGGAATTTAAATTACATTAAGAACAAATACAATACACATGTGATGAAAAGATATTCATGTAGTACGACTTCTTAGGGAGTCATTTATTAATGCAGAATTGGCTTGACCCAGTCAAAAAAAAGTTTATTGTTCATGCTACAAGGGATATATAGCACTGGGATCGCCGCTGTGAACACACATCTTTTTGCCTCTTTTTCCACACCCATAAAGCTTTTTCTGATCAGTTTAATACAATGCTGCACTGATAGGTGTGGGACGTCCATCAGACATACCACAGCCAGATTAAAACAAATATAATATAAATTTATGGTCATATACACAAGCGGCAATAATCAATTGAGAATTTTCAGAAGAACTAACACTTCTCAAAATTGAAAACTTGTGACAAAACCCTTATATGTAACATACAAATTAAGATTGATAAGAAGAAAATTCCCGTTAGTCCTACAAAGATTTCTACTTACCATGGTTTCCTCTTATGTCTAACCAGATTGTATCTTCGGTCACTCCAGACTCCTTAATAATATTGTGGTAGTACACCCACTCCATCTTCACCTGAGTGCTGCCCAGGTTGTCTTTTGTTTTTGAGTCAGTCAGGTCCCCAGTAGCAAGCACAATTAATGGTTTAATTTTCTTAACAGTATTATCACAGAACTGCTGAAACTGTGAAATTCTACCTGGATCTCGGAATATACTAATATGTATGTCTGAAATCTGAAAATTTAAACTCTACATAGAGACCTAAAAGTTTACCTATAGCATCAATGAGATATTTTATATCAATTTCAAAAATAATGTAATAGAAAAAAATTACTCAATCTGAAAATTTAAACTCTACATAGAGACCTAAAAGTTTACCTATAGCACCAATGAGATATTTTATATCAATTTCAAAAATAATGTAATAGAAAAAAATTACTCAATTTAGCGGTTTTGTGCCAAACAATTGTAAATTCAATGATAACATTGTTGACTATAAATAGAACTCTTTGTCTGTAAGCCAAAGGCGTTACTAGTAAAAAACAATAAAGTTCAATAAACACTTACCTGCACAAACCAAATCAGATTCTTGGGCGAATCAGCAATCTGCCCATACTTCTTAGACAAATATTTAGTGAAATTAACACCTTCATTTTTATTTTCAACGTAAAAATTGTGATCCGTTGCAATAATGTTCATCAGATTCGCCATAAAAATAGATAGCAATAATAATATGCATAACAGCGATATAGTCGTCTTTGAAAAAATCATGTTTATCCTAATTAAAGTAATTTTATTTCATCATTCACTAAGAAATTTATCACGGACAATATTAGAACCATAAAATAAGAACTTATATCGAAAAAGCAATTCGTAATCGACTGCGATCAACTGACTGCTGACAACAACGTCACAATGATTACACACACAAAGAAAGGACTGAAATTTTAACAAAAGACTTGTCACGATTGACATTTGACGCGAATTTTGACGATCACAACGAGAACAACTTGAAGTTCAGAACATGGCAGCGTTATACATGGTAAAATATTAAAAGTAAAATGTGTATGTATACGATTTGAAGATCAGTACCACAGTCATTCTCGGACTAGTGTTCACTGCCTGATTTCCATGGCAATTATTATTATTTAAATATTTAAGTATATTATCCTGTAATTATTAAAAGGGGGCATTCATTATCCTGCATTGCAGTCCGCTTTGCCGTTCATCGCGCAATGCAGGATTATGAACATAATCGCAGCGTACAAGCTATTCTGCAATCCTGTAAATCACAACCTATTCACTATCTGCATGGCAGTCCGCCCGCGCAGGCTGAAGACTGCTCACGCCACACACTATCCTGCATCTAGCCGACGTGTGGAGTCTCGCAGGACGCATTGCAGGATTGCAGGATGGTTTGCACGCCGAGACTACATTCATAATCCTGCATTTACGCGTCAGACGGCAAAGCGGACTGCAATGCAGTTGCTCTGAGACTCTATACGTGAGTTTACGCAGAATAGTGTGTGAGTAGTCTTCTGCCTACGCGGCGGACTAAATGGGGACATTCATTATTCTGTATTGCAGTTCGCCTTACCATACGCCACGTAATGCTGGATTATGAATGTAGTCGCAGCATGTAAGCCGTCCTGCAATACTGCAATGGGTCCTGTGAGACTCCTTACGTGGGCCATATGCAGGATAGTATGTGAGCAGTCTACTGCCTGTGCGGCGGGCGGACTGCCATGTAGGCAGTGAATGGGCCGTTTTAGATAGACTGACTGAATGAAATCGGTCAGATTTCATTTTATTCTGCCTCAGTGATAGTCAAGCACAGAACACAATACTCACAAGCATCTTTCTAATTTGTGCTCACAAGGAGTCAACCAAGTTATAGCAATTAGTGTAGTACTGACAATAGTGTTCTGTGCTACCCTTAATAACTAAGCCGTTTAAGGTTAAGCTTAATAAATTACCCGTAATATCAGTATAAAGTAGGCGATTTTTTGCCATTTAGACTAAGTCGAGGGCTCGCGTGGCGATTAGAAAAGTGATTGGTGACTCGGCAATATTTAGGCTATTTTTGAAATAGGAACAAGCGGTTTTAGGCTACTTAATAAAATGTCTATGTGTAGGGAATTGGATGAATAAGAGAATTCATATTTTACAATTCTCCACAGCAAGCAAATTGTTGCTTTCCTTGATTAGCAGGGATTTTATGGCTTATAGCATCCATAAATGAAAATAGCGAATTAATTTCGTAAAAGTCTGGCAACACTGTACCTAAGCGTGGTTATATTTTATTAATAATTTTGGCTTGGATACAAGTACTTTGAGCCATCTCTTCGTTTAATTACGTTCCTGTAAATATGGCCGCCACAAAGAGGATAGGCAATTTGAGGCGGCGTGCTTGGATTGACTCGGGATTCCTTAGAACGGGCCGATACGGGTATTTTAGTTCGAGATTCGTATAATTTCGCGTTTCAATCTTCGATTAAGGCACAATAACACTATCCTATTCCACTTTAAACTAGATTTCACAAAATAATTGAAAGTCAAAATAAAAACGATACTTTTCCCTCCATAAGGCCCAGAGCGAATCCCTAAGCGTGGTACTGACTAGTGTTGCCATGTGCACCGTAATTACGGTAAATGCACCGTACTCAGCACAAATTTACCACCTACCGTCGACACATGACAACGATGACAAAACCTACCGTAATCTGCAGGAGCTGGATTTTTTGTAGTAAAGCATAGTTGAGGAGGTGCGAGATCGATGTATGCGATTAAATTAATAATAATCTGCCCCCTTTATGGAAATCTGTTGTAGCAGTGTATCCAAAGGCATCGGCAAATATGTGTCAATTTTAAGCCTGACGAGGAAATGTTGAAAAGATTAAATCAAAACATTTATAAAAATTACGATATTGTATTTGATAATTGTTGTTTTATAAAAAGATTGAGATTTATAAATTAGTCTACCAAGGTATTCCTCTACTCATTTTTGTAAATGATATTTATATAATATAATTTGTAATGATAGATTTAATTTTATTTTTTTTCTTATTATAATTGTAATTTTCCTTTGTAAATAGTAAAAAATAAATTATGCACTAAAATG